TGTATAACACCTTCTTGCTAACATTTTCATAATCAAAAAGTTGACAGATATTAATGAAAGTGAATCTTTTTTCTTCACCGAAATGTCAGTTGATTGTTAAGAATAGTTACATGAATGAAGAATTTTCTTTAGTAAACTTGTTAATATTGCAAAACTTCATAGGTGCAAGAAAAATAAGTAAACCGAAGATCTAATTTATGGACGAACCAATCAGATATGTAGGATAACGAGCCTTGGATTTTAGCGCGAAATTCACTCATACATTTGGTGAAATAGAGTTTTGACATTATGGCTGATGTCAATTCTTGATGAACACCTTAAATCTAATTCCTAACCCTAACCAACAATTGTAAATCATAATTGTAATTACTCACACTGTTTTATAACCCTTTCTATAGTCCTAGTTAGTAGGTAGACCTTATCAAGGTCACTTTAGTCTCTCTCAAAGCTTGTCCATAAATTATAGTCTCACCTTAAAACTCCATCGGACCACTTTATTTTTTAAATAATTATAAAATTTTAATTTCTGAATAAATAGAAAATTGAATTTCTAATGTTTCGTGACTTTGTGTAAGTATCTTCTTTAAAGAATAAATCATCTGATTCAACAAACATAAATTTAAATAGTACAGTAGAACAAATCATAATGTTCAGTACAATACGAAATGTTTACCGTTGAACTTTATATCGTTGACATTAAAAATGGTTCTGTATGGATCATATGCTGGTGTATTTGTGTATATCTGAGTAAATACGGATAATATAGTATTCTTTTTGTGACAGAATAGAGAAAATGTTTCTTGTGAATAAGCTGAAATTGGAACAGGGTAAGTGTGTGTTGGTTTGAAAAAAAAACATATGAGAAGTGAAATAGATAGTTTGACTATTCTTTCTGTTGAATATATAGTATGGTACAAGCTGAAAACATTTATTTTACTTTTTTCAGGCAGTTGTTTCAGTAATGGTCATATAAACGGTATGAATGAAGGAAAAGAAATCCTTTGCTGTTACACAGATTTATATTCATGCACTAGGATGTTTAATATAATTAATCCCTCTAATAAATTTCCATAATGTGATGATGTATCCCTGAGCAATGCATTTTCAATCATATATGGTTACACGCATACATGTCAAGGTATTTGCAAGTACAAACTAATAAGATTCAGTTAAACAAAGCATCTAATAAGTGTAAAGTGATGATCAGAAATAAAGAATAGAAAAATAATAGAATTTGTAGAGTGAAACAATTTTTTATGCATTCCAGATTATGTAATCTACTTCACTGTTGTCATCTATTAGTAAATTACCTAAATAATTTTAATATATTTCGTATGTGTTTATAAGCAACACTACATATTAAAGTCCATTTTAAATCTAATTGCATTAAAATGCCAAGACAGAACTATATTCAGTTATATTTTATCAAAAGAAGAGGAAGTGTAAGATAAAACCGTTTAAGGAAAGATAAAGTATCAGCATAAGGTTATGGAGATTATTGAATTTTTATTGAGATCATGAAGTCATTTAATTTGGACCACCATTGACAACCTGGAAGCACTTGATGACCGTTTTGTCCTAGTATGGGACTCATTAGCATTGAGGATAAACGACCTCAGGACTCTCAGTCAAACATGTGAACGTTTAACATTTAGACAACTGAATCGGGATCCAACGGTATAAATGTCTAACTTCAACCAACCCCATAATATTGTGCGACCATCTTAAATTGCCTTCGGTGGGTAACTCCCTCATAGTCAGCACCGTTGAACACCACTGGTCAAGGCTTCTCACTAGAAATCCGAAAATCTCCTCTTGAAGTTAGTCACTAGTGAGCATATGATTGAAAATACTAACAACATTACACCTTGATCGATAGAATTCGACCAGCAATGGAGATTTTGAGAAATCTGACATTGGTCATTATAAATTGATCCGTCAACCGTAAATATTTTAGCCTTACATGAGGTCAGTTGCAGCTTAAATATCTCAATAGGAAAATCTTAAAATGCGAAACTTGGTAACGTGGATTTGAATTCATCAGAAGGCATAGATTCCCTCAATATTACATATAAGCATTACTGACGAGTATAGAATTGTAACAAACCTAGGTGCAGTGTTTCATGTAGTTTGCCTCCAACCACCTAATATGCAGAACTATATTTTTGTTAAACAACAATCGTTTGTATTTATAAGCAACGTACTGTCTTTTCATTTTCGCTATTTAACGTTTGATGCTCCGAAATTTTCATCTAACCGGTCATAAGAGGAAAAGTTCTCCAACCAACTGACATAGTTTTATTTACACTAATAACGTTTTTGTGTAATTATAGGAAGCATAGTAAAAGTAAGTTGACATCCTTTTTTAATATAACTGTTTCTTTATTTCTCTGAGAAAAGGATTCTTTTGTTAGGAGAAAGTGTATGAAATTTATTGAATGATAGATTTGAATTAGATGATTTTCTTTAATTAATGGTCCTTTCAACTAATCATTGATCACATCGATATATTCTTTTTGTCTAACAATAAATTAAGCGACGGATTCGAGATATTAAACATTAAATGATAAATAAGAAGGTAGTACGTTGCTTATAACTACAAGCGGTTGTTGTTTAACAAAAATGCAATTCTGTATGGTTGGAGGCAGACTACATGAAACAATGAACCTAAATTTCTTAAGATCTGGTACTCATTAACAGTACGTACGCATAATATTGAGGGGACGGATGCTCCCTGTTAGATCGAAATATTCTTATCTTCAAATCTTTTTTCATTAACTAAAAATTATATAATTCATCATGCGTTACTTTTTGTATTAAAATAAAAAATCATCAATTATAAATATATTCTCACAACTGCACTCTATAGTTAATGTGATACTACTAAAGCAGAATTAAAATTGTACAAAGAAATGAACTGCTACATAATTATACAATATTCGTAAGGGGTTTTAAGGACATTATAGTAATCTTGATTGTTGAGATCATGGGTCATTTGAAGCTAGACTACCATGAAAAACCTGAAAACACCGGACTGTCGTTTCGTTTTATTGTGGGACTCTCTAGCAGTGCGCATCAACGATCTCACCATGCGAGATTCGAATCCAGGACCTATCAGTCTTGCCCGCGAACGCTTGACTATTAAACCACTGAGCTGGTGTTAATGTCTGTCTTCAACTAATCCACGAAATTGACCGACAAACCAACCATTGTCTTCAGTGAGTTACTATCTTTCAACAGACCCAGTTGAACTCCACTGGTCACTGTTTCTCACTAGAACTCCAGGAAACCCTCTTGAAGCCAGTCACTAGTGAGCATGGTGGTTTGGCTTCAATTGGCTCATGAATCCAGCTATAAAATTACTAAAATCTCCACAAAACCTCTTCTGATAATAATCACCGTATGCTCATCAGTGACTGGTTTCAAGAGGTATATCCTAGAGTTGTAGTGAGAAACAGTGACCAGTGGAGTTCAGCGAGGTCTGTTATGAGGTAGTAACTCACTGAACACAATGGTGGATGTGTAGAATAATTTCATGTATTAGTTAAAGTTAGACATTAACACCGTTGGATACCGATTCAGTGATTTAATAGTCAAGCGTTCGCTTGCGAGACCGTTAGGTCTTGGATTCGAATCTCGCGAGGTGGGATCATGGATCCATACTGTTGAGGAGTTATACAATATTCATTTGTATATTACTTTCATTGAATAATTTCATGCATTAGACATTGTTTATATTACAAATACCTAATATTATCAGTTATTATCAAATAAGCCAATATTTACAAATTCGATTTATATATTTATTAATTATGATAAATCTATTTGTGATCATATGAGAATGATGAATCTATTAGAGGTTAATGAATAAGTAAATAATAAGATAAACAGATAATTGAATTTGTTACGCAACAATAAAGAACAATAAGTTAGTTTTAAAAAAAAAATAAATTTCCATATAAGCAAATAGGGATATTTAATGAATATTATGGTTGGTAACGTAATCGATCATGTATGATCATCTAATTATTGTTAGATATGTAGATCATTGGATAAATAACAAATTAAGTGATAGGATGAGTATTTATGGATAAAACAATGAGAATATAAGATATAAGTAAAGGGGGATGCAGTAACGATAATAATAATAATAATAATAATAATAATAATAATAATAATAATAATAATAGAATAATAATAATATTAATTAAGGCCAAGGTGGCGATAACAATAAGACGTACTTCTTTGTATTCAACTCTCAAAAAATACCCGAAGCTCTGATCATTCATGAGCTCAAACCAGAACTATACGTACATAATAAAAAATTGTTTATATGAAGATAAAGAGAAGAAGAATAATGTAATAATCTAGAATCTGAGAATTACATAGTTAAAATATATATAATTAGTATTGTATAAAATAAACGCAAAAAAAGCTGAATTAATACTAGCATAAAGTAGAAATTAGATGATCGTGTTTCCATCCAAGATAATATTGACTTTTATGGTTTATATCGCTGATCATTGAAAATTACGATACATCGGATAGATATTTTATTCCTTCAAGGGACTCCTAATCAAGGTATATACATGAATCAGTTAGGATGAAACTTAATATCTTCTAAACTTTTAATGAGCGCTTCAATCCTGAACAAGTGATTTGGCATTGAATTACATCATCATCTTTCATTGCCTGATGTAGATGACTAAGCTCCAATAGTCCAGTATTTTTGTTAGAACTCTTGGAGTTGTACGTAGAAATTAGTCACAAGTGATCATTATTAGTAGAGAAAGTTGTTTTTTTTTTTCGAATGTAAAAAAATTGTATGTTTGTTATTCTCATATTCATATTTACTAAAAGTTTAATCCCAAATATGAACAATGAGTTAATTCAAATCCTTTATAGTAACAATGATTAGTAAGTAGACTATTTATGTTTCATATAAAGAGATTCATACAATGTTAGTATGTTAGTTATCATGATGCCAAGAGAAATCAGGTTTACATAGTAAACTGAAAAACAATGTTTAGGAAATTGATAAATCTTGTTACACGGACAGATGGTCGACAAGCCACAGCATTATTATTATTGTTATTATTATTATTATTATTATTATTATTATTATTATTAGTAGTAGTAGTAGTAGTAGTAGTAGTAGTAGTAGTAGTAGTAGGAGAAGTGGTAGTATCATTATCTATATTTTTATCATAAATCTGGACATGTTTTGTTTATGGACGTAGGTTTTCTTTTGAATATACTACAAGTCATCCATACAGATTCAATTTTCTACCAAGAACAAAGTGAAATTAGATAACGATAAACAACAGGAAAACTTTCTTCTTTGGATTCCCGGTTGTTGTTGTTGTTTTTTATATTCACAGAAAACATTTTACCTAAGTTGAAATAGAGATATTGAGATAAACTCTGTCTAGAAATATTTATGGGTATATGAGTTAGAAGAAACATTTTACAAATCCATGAATTGAAAGGCAAGATTTTAAGAATTTCTAATTTCCATTTCGATTGTGAAGAATAAAAGGCTAGATGATCAATATTAATCATTATTGCTCACAATACTGTGATTATTCGATCTCACTTTAAATAGGTTAATCAGTGTTGATACTAATTACTCCGACAGAGAATTCCAGTAATCCATAACAAATTGCAAAAAACATAACTTTATACATAAACGATTGAATCTGGGTTTCGTAACTCATCGGAAATAGGCTATCAAAAGATCTGTCTAACCTAGAAATAAATAAGTTAAATTACTATCAAGTCACCTTAATGTTGGGTAACATTTTAAACTATGTTAAGATAAAGGGAGTGAGTTAAAATATTGTAATGAGGCTTCATACGGCAGATCAGAAAGATATAACACCATTGGAGTCCACACACATTGAATTCATTTCAATATATCAAATTCATAATTGAAACAAAGGATCGCCGCTTAAATTCCCTACTTCAAACGAGGTTTCACATATATTGGGTGTAACATTATGAACTTATCTATGTTCAATTTCTGAAATCCTTGATAAACTGTTCACGAGATCCGTAGTCATTCTTAAATAACCCCCTTTCAAGATATGCATGATTCTTAGTTGTCACTTACTATGACTCGAATAACCTTTATTATCTTAAAAAAAGTAAGAATTAGGATTGATGCAGAACAACATAAATTCATTTTAATTCGTCAGGTTCTCATCAATTCCTTAAAACTTATGTAATACTAAAACAATCGAAATCATCATAGAAATTGACATGCTTAAAAATACGACGGTAATTAGAGATGAATATGTATATCAGAATCAATAAAGTTAATAAAGAGACTGAAATCAAATGTATGGTTGAGTTGAAATCCGTTGATGAAAATGAAAATGTTGAATTCCGGAATAATGAAAATAATGTAATCAAACACATGAAGATATGAAATAAGGTGGGATGTTATAAAATAGGTATAACTTTATCAGGATAAAGAGAGATTGATTACTGTTTCATGTGAAATATATAATTGTGATTTTAAAATGTCATGGATTAGAATCAGTTGCTAAGTATCAAGGGAATTAAAATGAACTCATTTTATTGCGCACCATTCGTTGATTATGTTTCGTTCAAGAACTACATTTAACCTTTGGGTAAAAGGTTAAATCCTATACTTGAATTATCTTTCTACTAATCTGGCAACAATACGAACAAAACGAATCGGCTGATAATTATTCAACAAATGACAATTCGACTAATTATGATATTCTGTCGATCTTTTGCAGGTTTTGATTATTTCAGTGATATTTCCAACAACAGTTCCTGTAGTTTGGAAAGTTTATCATTCAAGGTTCCTGTAGGTAGAGAAATGATATCGATGGGATTACTAGACTGATATGGATTGAGTCGTTGAATATGTTGTTGTACATTTCTCACTTCGATAAATATAGGATCTGTTGCTAATGTCTGTATTTTCATTACAACAGGGAACATAAGTTTACGAATATGTTTTAATAAAAACTAAGCATTTTTAACATCTTTAAAGTTATTATATATTCATTCGGTTAAGGAAAATTGGAGGGAACGGCTGAGTGCATCACATACGCCGTTCTTACCTTAATGTGCCATAACATCCTGGGAATCATCCAACACTTCAATCCCATAACATGATCTTTGAAAAAATGAAAACAAAATAAGTTAACTAACAGAGAAATATCTTAGATTCATTTACATACGTCCCTTATTTCCATAGAATATATATCACGCACTACTGATGATGTTGGAGTTTAGTTGTATAATCGATCATCTGAAACTGTAACACTAACACACTGAAGTACAAAATTTATAACATGAAAACATCAATGATTCTGGATCATTTAATACATAAGTGAGTAAAAACAAACACGGATTTTATTGGTCATTGAACAATCAGTGAAAATATAACATAATTATTCAAACTATTCGCTTGATACTCAACACCATTGTTACACTTCATTGAAAGTAAGCATCCTTGACTAACACGTCACCATATTCAAACTACGTCTTCAGTCTTCAGTAATAAGGATAGTAGGTTGATGAACCTGTGTTAATCCTGACACATTGCTTTCCAGTGAAGGTCCAGCTTTTCCTTGAAAGTATTCACTGATGGGGCTGATACCACTTGTTCGGGTAAGGCGTTCCAATGATTAACTACTCGATGAGAAAAACGGGATCCCACTTTAAGTTTATTAGATCGTGGTTTATGAAGCTTCTTGCTATGACCTCGGAGATTATTAGTGCTGGAGGGAGCAAGAAGATAAGACATATTAACACCCAAATCATAATTAAAGATACGAAATGCCAGTATAAGGTCACCTCGTGTCCTACGATACGACAAGGGGAAAAGATTTAGGCGTTTTAAGCGCTCATCGTAAGGGAGACTAGAAAGACCCTTCACTAATTTCGTTCCCACACGCTGGACACGCTCAAGGGAGTTAGTATCCTTTACCAGACACGGGCTAGCTGCTTGGATACAGTACTCTAAATGTGGTCTAACATATATGGGATATAAAATTCGAAACGTTTCCTCGTCAAAAGATTTGAACGCTCGGCGAAGTGACCATAACGCACGAAAACCTTTGACAGCGGCTGCTTTGCAATGCGCAGTTGTTTTTAAGTCATGACTTAATATTACTCCTAAGTCCTTATGCTCTTGAACGCATGGAAGAGGTTTACCCTCAATAGTGTAACGGTAACTATTACCGTGACCGACGTGCATTAGTACACTCTTCCTAGCATTGATTTCTAAGCCCCACTCTCGAGCCCATCTAACTAAATCGTCTAAGTCAGCTTGAAGATCCAGATGATCAGCCGCACTTTTTATTGTTCTCCAGATTTTTACATCATCCGCAAACAATAATGTCGACGACCTAAGTAACAGTGGTAACTCATTAACGTAGAGAAGGAAGAGCAGAGGGCCTAAGATGGTGCCTTGGGGTACACCACTTTTGACCGGCTTCCAATCGGATAGCGTTCCGTTGACCCTCACTCTCTGTCTGCGGTCACATAAGAAATTTCCTATCCACTCATGTACAGTACCTATTATTCCGAAGCTCGTGAGCTTCTGCATAAGACCTACGTGTGAAACCTTGTCAAACGCTTTGCTAAAATCTATGAATATCACGTCGACAGACAGACCGTTATCTAGGGCTGCTGTCCAATCCTCCCTCGCAATAAGCAAGTTAGTCAAGCATGAACGCTTGTTACGAAATCCGTGTTGCTCAGGAGCTAACAGATTGTGTAAATCTATGTGGCTTAGCAACCTAACCCGAATTATCTTTTCAAGTAACTTAACGACTATGCTAGTTAGACTGACAGGCCGGTAGTTAGATACTATCTGTCGCTGACCGTCCTTAAATATAGGACTAACTATAGCGTCCTTCCAATCTCTAGGGAGTTGAGCGAGTGAGAGGGACATGTTGAAGAGTGTCGCAAGCGGTTTTGAAATAATGTCCGCAAGAGATGACAGCAACCGTGGATGTAACCCGTCAGGGCCCGGTATCTTACCAGGTTTGAGGTTAGTTATCAACGGAAGGACAGTTTCCTCAGTCACCTGTACAGATTCAATGGTTGGTATCTCGGTGTGAGTGGGACAAGTATTTGTTACAATAAACGTAGAGAAGACTTCGCTAAAATAGTCTGAAAAAGTCTCAGCTTTTGCTCGATCTGATTCAGCTAGTAATTCTGAATTTTCGTGTAACAGCAACGGGGGAATACCATCACTACGTTTCATTTGCCGTTTAACATACGAAAACAATCGTTTCGGACAAGTACGGCTATCATATACTAACTGTCGTTCGTAAGTGGTACGGGATTTCGCTATGGTTTTCTTACAGATATTACGGTATTTTTGGTACTCACGCTTAAATGGTGCATGACCTGTCAACAAGAATAAGTCCCAGAAATGTTTCCTACGCTTTAACAGCTTCCGGGTTTCCTTATTAATCCATGGAGGGCAATGTGATAGCTTACGTGCTGACCATGGGATAAACGGCGACGTTACGGACTCGAATGTAGCCTTAAACTTATTCCATTCATCTTCGATCAATCCATCCGCGTCGACCGACCAATCAGTCGAGATAGCACGGTTTCTGATTTCCGGAATATTAGCTCGCCAGATATTGGGACGGGGTGGAGCAGATACGAATTGTATACCATGTGTCCTAAACTTAAAGTGAATTACAACGTGATCACTGTTCACTAGTGGAGGAAGGTGCTGGATATCAAAGACATCCTCACAGTGGTGGGTGAGGGCGAGGTCCAGCAGTGACGGAACATGATGCAAATCAATATGTGTCGGTTTTGTGATACATTGTACAAGTGCACACTGAATAACGGTAGATAAAAGGTCACTATCGAAACCGCTACCTGGAGCTGTAAGCTCTATCCAGTTGATATGCGGTGCGTTGAAGTCCCCAATGATGAGACAACATTCTGCCATACTCCAAGAACAGATGTGTCTTAGGATAAAGTCGTCAGCCAGACAAGACGGACTACGGTATATTCCCCCTATAGTCACTAACCCATTTCTAGATTTAATCTTACAACATGCAACCTCACATGTGCCACTGATATGAGCCTCCGATATGGTTGATTGTATACGAAAGTGATCCCTAACGTAAAATATTATACCTCCCCCCTTGCGACTCGAAACTCTATCACTTCTGATACAGATATAACCAGCAATGAAAGGAGAACAGTCTATATCAACGGTGAACCAAGTTTCTGTAACAACGATTATATCGGGACATAATTCTTGCACCATCAGACTTAGCTCGGACGTTTTATTTCTAAGACTACGAGCGTTCGTGTAGCACACACTTAAGGTGTTTTGGCAATCAATCGTTCTACCCATACAGGCCTCGGAAGCATTGGCTTCCAAGACCTGACTACCCGAAAACCCTTAATGGTAAGGTTATTTTCGCCATTTAATTTGCGGGTCCTCA